CCCCCGTTTTTTTTCTCTACCTGCTCAAAAGGGAAAGGCCTCTCAATGAGGAACACCCAATTTGGGAATCAAGTAAGACTGATATAACTCTTAAACCAAAATTATCATCAACAACAAAACCCCAACAAATTGTTATTAACAGCAGCAACAAAGCCCTCAATAGTTGACCAGTTAATTAGTAATGACTGAATAGTGTCAGGCACTAAGGACTAGAGCATATATTCTCCTTCCTTTGTTGGAACATCCACTACTCAGAGATCTTCTTGTCCAGTGACAATTCTTTATGTTCCTCATGTCTAGTTTATCATGAGCCCCTTTTATCTCCCAATAAGCCCCTAGTAGAGATCTGGTACATAGGAGACATGCAATAAATAAATGATTATCGTCCTACAATCAAATCAACTTTTCAGTTTTATTTGGAGCACAATTTTCCCCCTCAAAATCCTGATAATTGAACAAAATTGGCTTGTTAGCCAAGTAGTTGACATTTATTTACATTTCTTCAATATCCATTTGATTGTGTCATACTTTTTTTTTTTTCTAAAGGAAATCAACTTTATATTTTCCTCTTCCTTTCTCTCTGCCCCTGCCTGCCCTCCCCCTCCCCCCCAACAGGTCCAGCATGCCAGCAAACAGATCAGTGCTGAGAAGCAGTACAAAGGGATCATTGATTGTGTGGTGAGAATCCCCAAGGAGCAGGGCTTTCTCTCCTTCTGGAGGGGTAACCTGGCCAATGTGATCCGTTACTTCCCCACCCAAGCTCTCAACTTCGCCTTCAAGGACAAGTACAAGCAAATCTTCCTGGGGGGCGTGGATCGTCATAAGCAGTTCTGGCGCTACTTTGCTGGTAACCTGGCTTCCGGTGGGGCAGCTGGGGCCACCTCCCTCTGCTTTGTCTACCCGCTGGACTTTGCTAGGACCAGGTTGGCTGCAGACGTGGGCAAGGGTGCTTCTCAGCGTGAGTTCAGTGGTCTAGGCGACTGTCTTAGCAAGATCTTCAAGTCTGATGGTCTGAAGGGTCTCTACCAAGGTTTCAGCGTGTCCGTCCAGGGCATCATTATCTACAGGGCTGCCTACTTCGGAGTCTATGACACTGCCAAGGGTGAGTGGGAGTCCGCAGGGTGGGGAGGAGGATGGGGTGTGGAGAGGATATATCATAAAGTACTGTATTTATTTATCTTGTTTTTTTCATAGTCCCTGGGCTAAACTGAAGCTTCTGAATAATGAGGTGATACGGGGTAGATTAATTAAGAACCATGGGGTTCCCTTCTTCCTCTCTTTACTGAATTAAACTTTGGCCTTGAGTTATCCCAAGAGACAGGGGAAACCTAACTTGCTCTTAACACAGCTGTATCACTTACCAGAGTTTAATGTGGAACAACTTTTAACACACCCTGCCTTCTGGGAAGAACTCTGGCTATCCTGGATCCAGAGGAGGCAGCTACCAGCTTTGGTTAGCTGCCTCATTATTAGTGAAGCATCTCTACCAGGGAGGGACAGATGTGGAGTTGCATTGACTTCATCTCTCCTTTTGCTGAGCTGGTGTGAGGGATCACTTCGTAGCATTTGGCTTGTCTCTGCCCACAGGGATGCTGCCTGACCCCAAGAATGTGCACATTTTCGTGAGCTGGATGATTGCACAGAGCGTGACAGCGGTCGCGGGCCTGGTGTCCTACCCCTTTGACACTGTTCGTCGTAGGATGATGATGCAGTCTGGTCGGAAAGGGGGTAAGTCTGAGCCTTCTAATTTAAACCTTCCTTGTTTTGCCCCTGAAGAGAATAGCATCACTTCTTTCATTATTTCAGTCTTCATTATTATGAATTAATTCACACTATTCGATAAGAAGGGTTGAGGGAAGATAGATATCATTAATTCCCCATCACATTTACTACAAGGAGTCCTGATGGTGCAGTGACTAAGTGTTTGACTGCTAACCAAAAGGTCAGTGGTTCAAACCCACTCTGAGGGAGAAAGATGTGGCAGTCTGCTTCTGTAAAGGTTTACAGTTTTGGAAACCCTATGGGGGACAGTTCTTTGTCCTTCAGAGTCTCTATGAGTTGGAATCGACTCAACAGCAGTGGAGTTGTGTGTGTGTGTGTGTGTGCTTTACAAAAAAATATTTACAACTATTTTTTTTAAGAATTATTTTTTATTTAAGGGATTATGTAGACATAAAAAGGAGGCATTAAGAGGTGACTTTAACTAAATATTTAGGATTAGAGGCCTTAGGCCCTCTCCTGCTATAGCCAGCTTGCAGAAACAAGGGGAGAAAATTGAAATAATTAACTAGTCTGTTGAAAAATAATTCTTACTTCACTTATCTGTTAGTGGGTTTAGGACACTTTAGCTGGCAGGGGATTCAGCAGTATAATAGAAAAAGGTTTGGCTTTTCTAGGTTAGAAACAGCAAATAGCCATTTTTTTTTTTTTTGTGGTGGCAATTTTGTATCATTTGGCTTCTTTGAACTATATTCTTAGACAGTATGATCTAAGAGTAGGCCTCAGTTTTCTCCTCCATAAAAACGGGAACACATAGCCAATACTCCTGCTCTGCTCGCTTCCTCTTTTAATAGTCTCACAGTTCTGTGAACTAATGGGTTAATTGCCCCAGTTCTTCACTTGATCTTGAAATAAAGGAGTAGGAAAGTCAAGAGACTCTAACAGTTATGCAAGGAATGAAATGTCCAGTTGAATGCTACATAGAACTGGGGCTGTAAGGCCCAAGTGACCTTCATTTTTAAAACTGATAACATTCAGTACAGATGCCTTTCAGAGGAAAGTCTCCCCCACCTCCACCCCAGAATTATGGAGCCTTCCTGTACCAATGTTTGTTTTCACAGCTGATATTATGTATTCTGGGACACTTGACTGCTGGAGGAAGATTGCAAAAGATGAAGGAGCCAATGCTTTCTTCAAAGGAGCCTGGTCCAATGTACTGAGAGGCATGGGCGGTGCTTTTGTATTGGTATTGTATGATGAAATCAAGAAATATGTCTGATGTAATTAAAACCCATGTTCACTGGTTCCAGATCCATTGTGTGGTTTAATAGACTTTTCCTAGGACAAGTGAAAAGACAGATCTGGGATGAAACCAGACTGAAAGGAATACCTCAGAGAAAAAACGAAAACAAAACAAAACAAAAAAATACTTCATTGAGTGTTCATTAAACCACAGATGTATTTTGTATTTATTTTACATTTAAAGTTCCACAGCAAATATATAATAACTTACCATACTTGTACAATTAACTAAAGAACTGATAATGAAGACAATAACTGAATGTAAAACGTTAATAAAGACCACTTAATGCATGTCCTCTAATTATTCACTTAGTGAATTTTTATTAATTGTTAAATGAATTCTCTAAGTATGATTATAAATATATAGCTTGTATCATGAATAGTTTCTAAATCGATGTCCGGGCTTCTAAATGTCAGTTGTTGTACTGAGTATGCATTGCAAGTACCTTCAATGGGATAAGTTCTAGTTTTCAAACTAAAAGCAGTTTATTCATGATATCTCTTTTAGCTTACCTCATAAGATGTTACTGTGGGCTTTGGAAGTGATAGCATAACCATGGGATTACCCTTCATTCTATGCACTTTCAGGCATACTTCAGAAATTCGAAAGCTTTAAATCACACAGTCCAAGAATTTTGCATGATAAGGTCCGTGGGTTGTACAAAGGGCTAAGTATTAACTGTGAACCAAATGATTGGTGGTTTGAACCCAATCAGAAGTGCTCAGGAGATAGACTTGGCACTCTGCTTCCAAATGGCTATAGCTTTGCAAACCCTATCTGCATACATGGAGGTTGTCAAGAGTCAGAGTGGACTGGGTGGCAATGTTCAGTTTTTGTCGTCTCAGGGACTTGAAAACCTAGAATTTTTATAGCAAGTGAAGAGTATTCACTGAAAATGAATTATCAAGCTAGTAATAAAATATGTTTAGCTTTATGGAGTCCTGGTGTGGGTGGCACTGGGATAAAGCACTGGACCACAAGTTCGGTTTGAACTGCAAGATGGGCGATTCAGATTCCCCAGCCACTCCTTGGAAACCCTACACAGGGTTGCTATGAATCAGAACCGACTCAGTGGCACTTAACAACAACAGCAGTAAGTTTTGTGGAAAATTAAAGAGAGAGATGAGCCTGACCTGAAAGAAGCTTAAATGACGGTGTGGGTAAAATGGCATTTGTTGAATCATGTAATGTTTCCTACAGTGGATCTTGGTCAAGTAGTACTAGAAGTAAGCAGAGATGAAATGATAGGAAGGAGTGATAGGAAGTGGATTATGAAAGACAGTAACTGTATTTAGCCATATGGGTATAGAAAACATCTGTCAGTACATCTTTTCTCTCACAATTGATCAAAACCTAGAGAAAAAAGTTGGTTTTAGGTTTGACTTTCAGGTTTGTGAGCATGGGGAATATAATTTTAAATGGGAAAGTAAACACTTTGGGTCCAGAAAAAGACCCAACAGTTAAATAATCCTACTTTACTGAGAGTGACTTGTAGAAAACAAGTCCTTATATTCTAGGCAAAACTTAAAAAGCAGGCAGGTGTCTTTTGTGTGTTTTTCCTGGTGGGTGATTTTGGGGGTGTGGTGACTGTACTTTCAGTTTTTCACCCTTCTCGCCAAGCTCTTCCATCTGTCTACTCTCTCCTGGCCCACCAATGAAAAGCCTGTTGCCTCTGAGCCTCTCACAATGCTGTGACCACAATAACCATTGTATTGTACCTTTCCAAGAGTATTCAAACTTAATCTAACAGATAACTCTGCCAATGGAAAAGGCTAAAAAGATCTCTTAATCCTATCTCCGTAAAGCCAGGCAACAATTGTGTGTGCTTAGGGCCTTACAGATATGTTGGTCTAACATCGCTTTTCATCTCAAAGGTGAGACGAATGATCAAAATTCTGTTGTTATTGGAGAGAAGAGAGAGCAGGACAAGTTACTAGGATAAATACTTCCAGAGTTTTCAAGCCTCATACTGTAGAGCAGGGGCAGAGAACTATTTTTTCTGCCAAGAGCCATTTGGATATTTATAACATCATTTACAGGGCACACAAAATTACCAACTTAAAAATCAGCCTGCTATATGTGGATGGCTGGAACTGCATTTGCCTTGGCAGGGCCAAACCAAATGATTTTGCAGGCCAGATGTTCCCCACCCCTGCTTTAGAGTGAAGAAGCTAAGGAAAGCAGTTAGGAATGATAAGAATGAATGAACCATAATCATGATTGTTTCCTACTGTCTGTCTTGGCATGGAACAGGAGAGGAGAAGATACGAACATTAAATAGGGCACACCTCTTCTACATTTGTGCTAAGGTTACCTACCTCTAATGTACTTGAGGAAAGGTGATTTGTCTTAAAGAGCCCTGCTGAGTCAGCTCCTCACTACAGCTGCTTCATTTACGAGAACTGACCCTCTGCTACAATGCTGTGGTCCAGCAGACAGCAGAGGGGCAAGCAGTGCTTCTCTTCTTTTTATCGATGCCACATCATCTTCAGTCTACAGAGCTATTGTGCAAAGCAATATCATGATATGCTTGAAGGTCTGGGGAGATGAAAGGGGTTTACTTGAAGGTGGTGATTAGCTGCCGTCCAGTGACCCCATGTGTGCAGAGTACAACTGCTCCCTAGGGTTCTTATGGCTGTGACTTTTTGGACGATCACCACAACTATCTTCCAAGGAGCCTCTGAAGGGTTAAAACCACCAACCTTGCAGCTAGACAAGTGCTTAAATTAACCTTTTGCTTAACCTTAGGGACTCCAACACCAAGATAGGAGTCCTGGTGTGGCACTGCAAAATAATGCACTAGACCACAAGTTTGGTGGTTTAAATCTACCAGCTGCTCCTTGGAAACCCTAAGCAGGATCGCTATGCACCAGAACCGACTTAACTGCACTAACAATACTACCATCAAGACAGGAGCCCTAGTGTGGTGCTGTAGGATAAGCACTGGACTTTAAAACACAGGACCAGCAATTCAAACCAATCAGCCACTCTCAGAAACCCTATACAGGGTCGCTATGAGTCAGAACTGACAGAATTCAAGAACAACAAAATGAAGGTAACTCAGAATTAAATGTCAGAATTGGGTTCCCTCCTGGTGTGGCATTGTGGGTCAAGTACTGGACTGCAACACTGGTTTGAAGCACAAGGGCAGGGGTTCAAACTCAACAGCTGCTCCTCGGAACCCCTATACAGGATTGCTGAGTCAGAATCGACTCAACCAGGGATCTCTCACTAGCTCTCCTTTCCCACACTTCCCCTAAATGCACCCTTCCTCTTGCCATCCCTTACCAAAATAAGTCCTTTTCCTTTTTTTTTCTTTCCTCCCTCATAAAGCCTCACCTATAGGCATTTGTTTTTAGTCCTTTTATTTCCTTAAGTGCATGCAAAAAATTAGAAAGAATGGCATCTTTTAATTCCATTTTCCACAACTTTTTTGAAGCCCCCTCATATCCTATGAGTAAACCCATAAAGGTAATAATTGGGGGGTAAATTAAATGTCCTGCCACAATTATTTCATTAGTTCTCAATTAACTGGATAATTGCTGCCATTCAATTTTACTCTGAGTTAATCTTAGAGTAACTTGAGTTGAGGCAATATTTACTAAATAATACAATGTGCAAAGCTATGAGGGGCTCTAATAAGCTCTACAAGATCAGTAGTTTCAGCTTTCTCACTGTGTTATCCCTGGAGCCTCAAGAGTGCCTGAAACTGACCCAAAACCAAACTGATTGCCATCAAGTCAATTCTGACTCAGATCAACCCATAGGGTTGCCAAGCCTGTAAATCTTCACAGAAGCAGACAACTGCATCTTTATCCCAAAAAGCAGTTTGAATCGCTGAGAATTTTAATCACTGTCACCAGGGTTCTTTGATAGTACGTGGTGGTGGTGGTGGTGGTGGTGGTGTGCAGTCAAGTTGTCATAGCGACCTGTATAGGGTTTCTGAGACTAAATATTTATGGGAGCAGAAAGCCTCATCTTTCTCCCACAGAGTGCCTGGTGGACTTGAACTGCTGACCTTGCGCTTAGCAGCACAATGTATAACCCACTAAGTTAATGTTGTTAAGTGCTGTTGAGTCAATTCCCACCGAAAGCGACCCTGTATAGGGCTTCCAAGGAGCGGTGAACTTGAACAACCAACCTTGCAGTTTAAACCAACTTTGCAGTCCACAGAGCCACTACACTAGGGCTCCTACACTGTTTAACACATGTTGAATGTAAGAATGAATGAGAAGAAACAGTGTATCATGAGTAGAGACAAAGAAGTTGGAGAATAGTTGACTAGAGGCAAAAGTCCTGCAGTATGGGTGAATACTGAACATGCTAAGTATTGTGGGTAGATAAGCATGTTGTTGTTGCTAAGTGCCTTAGAGTTGGTTCTGACTCATAGTGACCCTGTATAGGGTTTTTGAGGAGTGGCTGGTGAGCTTGAACCACCGAATTTACGGTTCAAACTGACCTTGCATTCCAGCACATTAACCTGCAGCACCACACCAGGACTCCAAGTGTATTGGAGCCATATAATAAAATGCATAAAAACGCATGGCTGCTTACAGTAGCCTTAAATTCATACTTCAAGTCCTTAAGACAAAGTTTTACAAAGTCCCCCATGACGTAAATTTTTATTTACTTACTCCTTGGCCTTTCTTATCAATTTTTATCAATCCATGATAAAGTACTATTAGAACGTTTACATTATAGTACATTAAAATATATCTTTAATCACATAAGACATTTTACATGGTTTTATGTGCTCCACTTTAAAACATTTTGTAGTGCTTCACTAAAGCAGCTGTAAGCATTTTTATTATACTTTAACATACCCAGCTTTCATAATCATCAATGAACACAATATGCTGAGTGGCACACTCTGGTCTCACATTAACCTAAATGCTGAGACAGATGCAAAAGCACGTGGTTCATGCTCTCAAGGAACTTCTTTTGCTTTATTTGGTAGTAAAACACAGACTAAAGTCAATCCATGAAAGCATGTGGTTTAAGTA